GAATGATTTTAGGCTTTCCAAGATTCCATCGGAAATCAGTCATTTTACTAGACTAAAGCATCTTGATATCTCTTATTCTCGATTTTCGGGCCATGTTCCGGGAGAAATTGCTCACCTCCCCAAGTTAGTTTCTCTCAATCTCTCTAGTGACGTTTATGATGATTCTCCTAAATTGATCCTTGAAACAAATACCTTGAGAAATCTTGTTCACAACTTGAGTGAGGTGACAGAACTTGTGCTTAAAGGAGTGAACATGACATCTGTTAATCCTCGTTTCTTCATGAATCTCTCTTCTTCTTTGACTACTCTTCGTCTTTGGGAGAGTGTGTTAAGAGGAAACTTTCCAAACAGTATTTTTCGCTTTCCAAATCTCAAGTTCTTTTCTTTAGGTGGAGAGGGAAACCTCACTATTGATCTTCCAAGTTCCAATTGGAGCAGTCCTCTCCAAAAATTGCATTTAAATGTCATGGATTGTGGAAGGCGATTGCCAGAGTCTATAGGAGATCTAAAGTCATTACAACTTCTAGGTCTTGGCTGCAACTTGGAAGGTTCCATTCCAGCTTCCATAGGAAACTTATCTCAACTTACTAGGCTATTCCTCTATTCTAACAATTTTAACGGACAAATCCCAATGTCACTGGCAAACCTCACACAACTTAACTTACTCTTACTTTACAATAATCAATTTTTTGGTCCCATTCCAGCTTTCTTATGTAACCTATCCCAACTTACTGTCCTAAGCCTCTCTTCTAACAATCTCAGCGGACAAATCCCATCATCACCTGCAAACCTCTCCAAACTAAGCTCTCTAGATTTGTCTTATAACTTACTTAATGGCACGTTGCCACCTTGGATTTTCACCCTACCTTTGTTAGAGATCTTGCGACTCAATCATAACCAACTTGAAGGTCAAATAAATCAATTCCAGCAAAAATCACTCATACAACTAGATTTGTCAAACAATAAACTCCAGGGCCCAATTCCTAGCTCAATTGCTAATTTAGTAAATCTTGGTTCTCTCGATTTATCATCAAATCATTTTAGTGATTTAGTAGTATCTGACATGTTTTTGGGGCTTCAAAATCTGGAAACCATCATTCTTTCATACAATAATCTTTCTCTGAGAGTCAATGTTGATCCCAACTTCACATTACCCAAACTATCTTATGTTGACTTGTCTTCTTGTAACTTGAGTGAATTCCCCAGTTTCTTAAAACATTCACATGGTCTGCAAAGCCTATTGCTATCAAAGAATAGCATTAATGGCAATGTTCCTGAATGGATATGGAAAAAGCATGATCTCAAAATTCTTGACCTTTCTCATAACCATTTAAGCGGGAAGATTCCAAATTGTCTTCCTAAGTCTCTCTCAGTGTTGAATTTGCAGGCCAATTACTTTGATGGAAACATACCATTTGGATTTCCAAGGAGCTGTGGATTACAAAATCTCAACTTACATGGAAATCACATGGACGGGCTATTACCAAGGTCTTTGGTGAATTGTAGCAAGTTAGAGGTTCTAGACGTTGGCAACAACAACATAGAGGATACATTCCCTCATTGGATGGAATCTCTACCAGACCTTCAAGTGCTTGTCCTAAGGTCCAACAAGTTCCACGGTTCTGTGCAGAACACCAAAGAAAGTCCATCTTTTCTCAAGTTACGAGTTCTGGACCTCTCTAACAATGATTTTGTTGGTCCTTTGCCTGTTCGGTACTTCAAAAATTTTAAAGCTATGATGGACCTTTATAGAGATGAGGGTTCTCTTGAATACATGAATGTCAGTTCTTATCAATATTCACTGGTTGTGACATGGAAGGGATTCGACTATGAGCTGCATGGAATCTTGACCGTATTCTGTAGTATTCATCTCTCAAATAATAAGTTTGAGGGAGAAATTCCAGATGTTATTGGAAAGCTTAGTTCTCTCAAAGGGCTAAATCTTTCTCATAACAACCTTACTGGTCATATCCCATCGTCACTAGGGAATTTGATGAATCTGGAATGGTTGGATCTCTCTTCCAACGAGCTGAAAGGAAAAATTCCAAATGAATTGGTATCTTTGACACAACTCTCTATATTGAATCTTTCAAATAATTATCTTGTCGGACGCATACCACAGGGCAATCAGTTCAACACCTTTGAAAATGGTTCTTATGAAGGAAACCTTGGACTCTGTGGAATCCCATTGTCAAAATCTTGTGATGGAATGGGGACAACGCCGAGCTCCTTCCAAGAAAAAGATGAGTTGTGGAGATTTGGCTGGAGAGTTGTGGGGTTAGGCTATGGATGTGGAGTTGTTTTTGGACTGCTGATGGGATATCATGTCTTCCGAGCAGGAAAACCAAAATGGTTTGTGTCCTTGTTTGATGGCCGACCAAGTCAAAATGGAAGGAAGATGAAGAAAGCCAGAAGACTTGTTCAAAGAAGA